TTAATGTCAAATAAATTTTAAAATGTTTTACTGACTGAATGAGGAAGTGGAACGAGAATAATCACGCACGAAATTTAATTAAAATATTTTTTTTGAAAATTATGTACTTGGGAGTATTTTTGAGGGTAAAAGACTTTAAGGAGAAAATTTATAAAACAGTCAAATGACCTTCTTCAGACGTGAAATTTATCAAAAATATTCCTTCTTGTGGTATCTAAATTATCTAAAAATTTCAGAATTTCTGTTTTTTGATTTAAAAAGTTCTGGTCAGAATTACCAAAATTATCCAACTGTAAAGCCTCTTTTTGCAAATCTCACTTAGTTTTTTGACCATAACTTTTCAAAAACTAAACCAAAAATTCTGAAATTTTAAACGAAGTTAGACTACGCTATAAGCTATATCTATACAAAATTTCGGATTTTTATCTTTCCTCTTTTGCTTGTTTTTTCTGTTAGCGCCGAATCATGCCTTCCCTCTTCCCTAAAATTTAATCTTTATTTTTTTCCTTAAAATTATTTTTAATGAATTAAACTATAAAATTAAACATCTTTAAAAATTTCTAAAAATCTTCGGAAATCTACTTAATTAATTTATTTTAAATTTTGAATTTAAAAATTAAATTTTTCTATTCCTTTCTTTTTACTCTCTTTTCGTTTCTTTTTATTGCAGGTGTTAGTTGTTATAAAATCTAAAAATAAATTTAAAAAAATTTTTTTGCAATATTAATTTAAAATTATTTATTTAAAATTCTCTCATATTTTAAATATTTATTTTACAAAAATTTAGAAAAACTTCTAATTGTGCGAAAATAAAAATTCATGTATATTTATTTATTTAAAAAAAAGTAAATTATTTATTTATTAAACATAAATACTAATTATTTTTTAAAAACATTTTTTAATTAAAAAAATTAATTTACGTATTTAATCTTATTTTTATAATATTCTTGAATTTAAAATTTAATGTAATTACTTAATTATTTTATTTTTAAAAATTAATATTTTGGACCCAAAAAAATTAAATAATTATTTTTGAGTAACGTTTAATTCTACGTTTAATTTGCGAATTGACAGTTACCGATAAATCCAATATCTGTTGAAATTGGGGATAATGGGTCGTCTCCAGTAGTAAATTTGGATAGAAAATTAATTTTAAAGGAGTAAAATAAATATTTAATTAAGTTCTTTTATAAGTTAAGTTTCCTCTCCAGTTTGGTAAATAAAGCAAAAGAATAAAAGATAGGTTGGGTGGCTAATTTTAATTTTATTAATTTTTAAATATTTTTTACCAACATTATCTACATCTTCTATACATTGACATAAAATATTATACATCAGGGTTCTACATATTTAAATTTAAAATTAATATTTTAGTTAAACCTTTTAACGCCTTAAAATAAATTATTTAGTAACTACAAAGGCTAAATATTTTCTTTATTTTTTCATTTATTTGCGTGTCCTTTCCCTCAATAATATTTTTGTTGTCATAATCGTCCCCACTTTTTAAAGCTTTTTAATGGACTTGGGAAGCATCTGTCCCCTTTCTCTCTTTTATTTTTATTTTTTTCAACCAAATTAAATACCCCTAGGCATAAAAGTGCAAATATTGTTTTGTACTTTTAAAAATAAAAAAAGGGAAGGGGGGGGGGAAGGGGGGAAGGGAGGGAGGGGGGAATGTCTGTTATTGAGGGAATTGAATGAAGTGAATTAATTTTTTTTATAAAAAGAGAGGGAAGGGATTGAAAATGTGGGGGGAACGGAAGTTGTTTGGAGAGAGGGAGGGGAGGGAGAGCGAGGGGAATTTATTTTTTTATTTGTTTGTTTAAAAAAATATTTTTTTTGTAATTAACTTGTGCCTACTTTCTCCGGAAACTATAAGGAAAAAAAAAATAAAAAGAAATAATTTTGTCGAAGAACAAAAGAACAAAAATTTGTACTTTTGATATTTTGGAATTTTTCTAGAAAATATTTTTTAGCTAAAGACGAGGGCTCTACAAATTTTGAAATTGAGACTTTTCGAAAAATATGAGTGCCACCAGACATAGGAGAATAGGCCTGTGCCGAAACAGATTTTAAAGACGAAAAACAAAACCTTATAGAGGGCAAAAAATCGGCGAGAGGTGAAAATGCAAAATAGGTGGGATTCTCTGACCCTTTTGAAAACAGAAAGAACATTTACTATATCCAAAAATTCTTTTCTTCTTAATTATCTCCTTAAAATTTTAACTCAAAAGAAAAATTTATATTTTGGACATGTTATATGTATTTTTAAACGTCATTTATCATCTTTTTATTTAAATGTTTTATTCATTAAAATACTTATTTAATTGTTGCATTCAATAAATATTTTTCCTTTTTTTGTTTTCAGAATTATGTAGAATATTCTTTTCATTAATACATTTTATTCATTATTATTCCTTCATTTACCCTCTTCCATTTTTCTCTTTTTTCTGTTGTAAAATAAATATGTAGAGGGGTTTTTACCTCCATTTAATGACTTCATTTTTTCGATTTGCAAGGATTTTATGTAGAATGAATGTGTGTCAAATAAACAATTTTATTCTCGAGGGACGTCTTCTTAAAGCATCGCCACATTCTTTAAATAATCCTGCAATCCTGCGCAGATCCCAAATAATATTTTTTCGGATTATTCCTGAGAGATTTAAACCCGCAAACAGACTTTAAAAATTATTTCTGCCTCCTTCCCGACCCTCATTTATTCTTCAACCCCTTAGGGGGTCTGGAATAAATGACAAATTGAATCGACAATTTCTTTCCCAATTTTCCCTTCAATTCCTTTCCTCTTTTTTTACATATTTACCAGAACATTTAGTAAATGTCATATGTTTCCATTCAATTTATTTCCATCAATTTGTCATGTTTCCGTTAAATGTACTTTTCTATGGCCAAGTAAATATTTTGGCCTTCCTTCAATTTTGAAAGGAAAGAAAAAAATTTTTGGTTCAAAAGTTTTTTATTTTCTACGTCATTTATTTTTTTCTTTCTTTTTGTGATCTCTGAAATTAAAAAAAAAGATTTGCGGACAAACATTTGCGGACTCCATTATTTTTATCCCTTTTTCTTTAATCCCTTTTTTCCTTTTTTCTTTAGAAAAAATAATGTTAAATATTTAATTATATGGACGTTTTTTGACTCTAATTATTTATCCAAATAATTGATTATTTAAATAAAAATTTTTTTTAAATGTTTTTCCAAATTGAATAAAACCACGACATTATTTAGAAAGCTAAATTTTCTTCCTGCCTTCTTCAAATTTAAATTACCCCTCATTATAAGGCACGATTTTTTAGTCTAAGAAGGGCATCTAAAAATCAGGTTTTGACTGTCTTTAAAATTTTTTTAATCCGCAAAAATATTTTGTCCGCAAGACAAGTCCGCAAGTTCAAATTTTGTCCGCAAATATTTTTTTATAATTTTTAATGGTTGGTTCTCAAAATAAAATTAGAAGAAAAAATAAAAGAAAACTAAAATTAATTATTTAAAATAACTCTCTAATTATTGACATTTTATAGAAAAACAAATACACTGCGACGCAAAATTATACGTCCACCCCATTTTTCAAAATTTTTTCATTTGTATTGCTCCTAATTTTCTGAAATTTTTAATAAACACAATTTAATCAATAACTAACAAGATGTGTATGGATTTTTGGCAAAATTTTTATTTAAAAAATTTTTTGACCAAAATTTTTGTTTTCGACCTACGCAAAATTATACGTCCACTTTCCAAAAAAGTTACTTCCAACTATAGGAAAAATCTACAAAAATTCCAGTAAACTTATATATTGATATTATAAGAAAATAAAAAAAAGTAGTTACATATCTTTACCATAAGCTGAGATCCTGAGACCTCGAAACCCAACGTAAAACAGGGTTTTTCAACTTTAAAAAATAATTTCGACCCCTTATGGATTAGTATAAATTTTGATTTTGGGCTCATTCGAAAGCCCTTGAAATTAGCTACAAGATGTTATCAATCATATTTTCCAGAAAAAATTGTAAAGAAGATACAGGCATTTAAACTTCTGATCCGGAAAAAAACTCCTAAATGCCCCATAAAATACCCCTTAAAGTCATTACCGAAGTTTAAATGCCTGTATCTCTCTTTACAATTTTTTCTGGGAAATAAGATTGATACCATCTTGTAGCAAATTTCAAGGGCTTTCGAATGAGACCAAAATCAAAATTTACAGTAATCCATAAGTGGTCGAAAATATTTTTTAAAGTTAAAAAACCCTGTTTTACGTTGATTTTCGAGGTATCATGATCTCGGCTTCGGGTAAAGATATTGACCTACTTTCTTTTTATTTTTCTATAATATCAATGTATAAGTTTACTGGAATTTTTGTAGATTTTTCCTATAGTTGGAAGTAACTTTTTTGGAAAGTGGACGTATAATTTTGCGTAGGCCGAAAACACAAATTTTAGTCTAAAAATTTTTTAAATGAAAATTTTGCCAAAAATCCATACTCATCTTGTTTGTTATTCACTAAAGGGTTTGTATTTACATTTTTAAAAAATTCGGATCAAAACAAATGAAAAAATTTCGAAAAAACGGGGTGGACGTATAATTTTGCGTCGCAGTGTATATACAAATTTATTTTTAAATATCAAGTCATGCGCATTATAAATTGATGACTAAAAAAAAGCTTTGTAAAAGCTTCTCTCTTTTTATTAAAAACATTTTTAAGTTTATTTTTTTTAAACTTTTTTTTTGTAAATGTAAACAGATTAAAGAAAGTTTAAATATTTTTTAAGAATATTTAAATTCTCTCTAACTCCCCCCTTTTTTTATATTTACATTAACACCTCTAAATTTATGTAAATTAACACACTTTTTTAAACTTTTAAAACTTTTTTTAATCCTAAAATTAATAAAAAAAGTTTTCATATTTAAATATTACCGTATTTCTTCTAATAGTGCGACCGGTCGGTTTATTTTTTAACCATCCTCTAGGGGAGAAGGAGTCGGTCTAATAGAGGGAGTCTGCACTATTAGAAGAAATACGGTTGTTTTTTTAATAAAATCAAATCTCTCGATGATAACTACACTCCCTCCATCCTTTCCTCCCTCCCTCCCTCCCTCCCTCCCTCCCTCCCTCCCTCCCTCCCTCAGACGTCGCCTTTCTAACGTCGATGAAACTCAGTCCGAAGTGTGTCCTTTTAGAGAGATACCGTTTTGATCAGTTACAACTTAATTTAGGTAATTTCCTCCTTAATTTAGTGATGGAATTAATAGTCGCGTGGGTGTAAGCCAAAAACTCAAATATTTTTTAAATACCTACAATGTTTTATAGAACCTTCTTCCTTAATAGTTCAACAAACTTTTTCCTCTTTCCTTTCCTATGTCTTCCTTTTCTGTCAAATTCAATTTTCTTTTAAATTACTCAAAAGTTTGTTGTCCCCTTTAAATACTTAAAAAGTATTACAATTTTAAAGTGCGTGTCTCAAATATAAAAAAATATTTTTTGCGGGGGGGGGGGGGGGGGGGGGGTGCCTGTATTCGCCAAATTGACTTTTTCATTTTTTTTTTCACTCAATTCTCGTTGAAAATAACAATCGTTTAAAATAAAAATATACGTAATTTATAAAAAAAAAAGAGAACGGCTGCCCAAACAATTATTGTTTAAGTAGTCAAAAAAAGGCGGAAGCGGAAAATTGAGAAAAAAGAAAAAAATAAGGAAAGAAAGAAAAATTCGAGAGTTGCTAGAACGTTTAGAGGCGCGAACAACGCTGGTTTGAAAATTCATAAAATAACCTAAAGAGGTTCTGGAAACTTGAAATTTTGCTTGAATATTCTCAATAGTGTTAGCTATTTTCTCTAAAAATTTCAGAATTTTTGATTAAGTAATTGAAAAGTTATAGGCACGAATGTCAAAATTTTTAAAGAAAAATGACGTTTCTTTGTTAATTTATGTCTACATATGTATAACCTTGGGAATTATAAACTAAAAATTTTTTTTAATTTAAAGAAAAATTAATTAACACTTTGAGGGCTTCTATGCAATTTTTTAAAGAAAAAAAGTATTCGTCTATGAGTCATTTTATAGGCGAGCGCCTAAACGTTACTGCGCCGAAACATCAAAAGACCCCCAAGTTTAAAAAGGGAAGAAAACAAATATTACTACACACAAGTATCGGGCCCAACCTTTGAAAAAGCACGTGAATTTGTTGAATAAAGAAAGGATTATAAATAAAAAGGAAACAAAAAAATAGTAGAAAGACGTGCGATTGACAGTCAAAACTTTCTGTGTTTTTTTACTCTTTTATTTTCCTTCCCAATTTTCACGCGAGCGTTTTTGTGTTGTGATGCTGCCAGCTTGCATTTCCCCTCTCTATTTCTCTCTTTACAATCTTTGCCCGAATGGCCATATATGTGTGTATACTACCCATAATATCGAAAACTTTAAAATTTATCCGTAGCTTTTCATTTAGGGGGGGGATGTTCAGAGATGATAATAAGAGAGGGGGGGGGGTGTATGTAGATAAGACCTATGACCAACATCCAAGGACCTCGTCCCCTTGTCTTCTGAGATCCATCAAAGGATAACTCTACTAGGTATATATACATACAGTTTTCTTCATACCTGCCCTTTCCTTATTCCACGGGAAGGAAATTTTCCGAACGGGAACGGAAGAAAATTCCCTTTCTAATCTTTTCCATTACCATTAAATCTCTCTTTAATCTTAATCTTTAGGAGGTCCAAGTTTTAATTAATGGTTTTAATTAAGAGCTCCGATCTTCTGGGTTTCCTTTTAAAAGGGATGTGAAGGGGAGAAGATAGGAGGGAAGGGAAGAGAAAGGGGAGAGAGGAGGGGGTTGGCAAGGGATTATTGCCAATATTTTTATTTTTCTTTTCCCTTCTCTTCACTTCCCTTCCATTTTCATTTATTTATTTTTTTCTACATTCTCCTCTCCCCTTCCTATATCCCTTAAAATCCCTCATTCTCGCCTGTCAATAAAATGTGTGAACAACAAAACGAACGGCCAACCGCTCTCGTCAAAAAAAATTTTTCTTCCCTTCTCTTTCCCCTCTTTTTTCCTTTAATTCTTTTTCTCCTCTTTTCTGTGCTATTTTCTCGTTTCCGTAACCCATTTTTTCTTTTCCCTCTTTCCCTCTCAAAAAATATTTTTCCTCATTCCTCCCTTCCCCTTATCCCCCCCCCCCCTCCTCTTAAAAATATTTTTTTCTTCCCTTTCCTTGTAAAAAATGTTGCCGTTGTTTTTATTTTTTTTAAAATTTTTCCACGGTTTTCGGTCTTTTCCCATAAATTTTAACTAAAAGCTTCTTTATTCTTTTTATCTTTTATTTTTTAATTTTTATTTAAAATTGAGTTGATTTAATTAATTAAATTGATTAATTAATTAATTATTTTCCTTCCCCTTAATTAACTTTAAAAGGAAGTTTTTTATTTTTAAAGTGCAGATTTAGTTTATTTTTTATTTATACATAATACTTAAATATATCCACTTACTCCTTTAATATCTAAAATACAGTCAGACCCCACCATAATATACATCAGGGATGAGATTCTCTTCCGCTTCCGCTTACCGACAAATTCAGTCTTATTTGCTCTTCCGCCTTCCGTTTTTAAAATACGGCAGAGCCCCTTCCTAATACACACCCCCATTAATGTATAAACTTCACTTTAGGGTATGTTTCTTGTTTGAATACAGTGAAGAGGTGGGGTGGATACCCCCCCCCTCCCTCCATTTAATTTACCTTACAATCTTCCAACCTCAAGGATTTATCTTATAATTAGGTCCTTTTTTCTTTCCATATACATATTTTAATTTGAAGTTTCCAACTTTTAATTTTTTATAAAAATATTAATTAGCAAAGAAAATTAAATTTTTAAACAGGAGATACAAAAAAATTTTTCAAATTTTTTTTATTTAAAAAATATTTTTTTTCGTGTTCTTCGATTTTTTATTAAAAGATTAAAAAAATACATTTCTAAAATACATATCTCTTTTTAACTTCCAAAAATAAAAAAAAATTTAATTTAAAATTTATTTTTTTTTCTTTTCATCTTTGAGCGCCTAAAAATACGGAACTAGCGTTATTATTTTTCTAGTTAGTTTCTCTTCCCGTTTCCAAAATATTAAACAAGATGAACAAATATTTTAGAAAATATAAAATATTTTTCAATGTTTGTTAACACTATATAAAAATATTTTTCTCTCTTTTTTTAAAATTTATTTTTATTTTGTGGGTCTGTTTCGGCGCAAGTTCAAATTGGCGCAAGCTTATAAATTTACCCTTTGACGAGAAGCTAGAAACTTGAAATTTTGTAGAAATATCTTCAATATATCAGCTATATTTTTTAACAATTTTAGAATTTTTGCTTTTGTTTTTCTGAAGTTATAGTCGAAAAACTACTAGAAAAATGATGTTTACCCTAAATATTGACTATTTTTGACTTTAGACTAAAAATTTTTACACCAAAAAAAATTTTTTTTAATTTCTAGAGGAGTTTAATAACTCTTTTAGGTTTATCTTAGCAAAATTTCATGGCTCTTTATGTTTTTTTGAAGCTTTCCTAGGCTCACGCCAATTCTTTGTTTAGCTGTTCAGCATCTAAATGTCGCCTATTTTATTTTTATTTTTCTATCTAAAAATATTTAAAATAAAATATTTTTTTATGTAAAGACTTTCAAAAAAGTATTTTTTTTCTCCCACGTTTCATTTAAATATTTTAGTTCCTCTTATAATAAAAATTTATATTTCTGTTTAAACATTTATTTATTTTTCAGATTTATTTATTTTTATTTATTTAATTTTTAATTTATAAAAATTATTTAAAAATTTATTTAAATTTTTATTTTTAAACATTTAAATAAATTTAATTTTTTGTCAGTCGAAAGCTATCTCAAATTTACTCCAATTCTCTTTTTGTTTATTAGTTATCAATTGTTATTTTCGCTTTCTTCAATTATTGATATTATAATCATTTTGTTATTTAATCAAATAATACCGGACTCGATCTTCTAATTGGGATAATCTTAATTAAGCTAGGGTAGCGAAGAGAAAGATCCAGCTGGCTAGTATTTAAAACGCTTACAGGCGGAGGTTTAATAACTATTAAAGAGGGGGTAAACGCCCGGTAGTTCAGTCGATAGAGCACTTGTACGTGTGAACGAAAGTGTTTAACAATAACTGCTAGAAGGTCACATGCGCGATGCCTGCCTGGGATTAACTTTACCTCGCTCTTACTCTCTAAGATGGGACGCTTACAGAATTTATATTCGACTAGTTATTTATTCGTCTCGTTAATCTATTATTATCAAGTCCCGCAAAAATACTCAGGATTCCTTGAAAATATAACTTAACCGGTCCATGCTTGTGGTTAACTTTTTCTTTTTTATTTTTATCAGTTTCCGTCAAATCTTGGATTTTTAATTTTTTCCCCAAATATATCCACCTATTTTCTCCCCACTCCTTTTCTTCTTTTCAATTTTCTCAATTCCAATGTTCAACGATCAAAAAGAAATATTCTTCACTCTTTTATCCCTACAAATCCTTCTTAATTTCCTTAACTGATTTAATCATTTTTTCTTCTTCTTCAATTTATTTTTAAATTTTACAACAAAAATTTCTTTGACTCTAAATAATTTATTTATTTTTTTAAACTTTTTTTAATTAAAAAGATTTTTTCCCAAGCACTGAAAATTAAATTTTATTTTAAAAATATTGCTAAAATAATTTTTTCTTTATTTTTAAATTAATCACATGATTTTCTTTTATTTTTCCATTTAAAAATATATTTTTAAAATTACTTAATCCACGATTTATTTAAATCGAATGGCAACACGTTTTCCGTTTTTAGCTGTTATTATAACACGTGGATTTATTAATAAAATAAATACATATACCGTAAATGCTCAAATAATTACACGGGGGAATTATTGTTTGGACCTTGCAGTTGAGGAGGTAATTAATCGAGAGGAGTTGCGCTAGATTGTGTTGTATCTCAATAAATCGAGGACGAAATTAATTAATTCCAGATTTCGGGAAATCGGGATTCCAACCCAAAAAACATCGTGAATTCCCTATTTTGGGAGTCGGAACGGCAGGATCCTGATATAGACTCATAAAATATTTCAATATTTAAACTTAACAATGATTTTTTCAATATTTTCAAAATTAGTGTTGGAAAAAGAAGGGGTAATTATTTTAAAGAGGGTAATTATTTGATCATTTACGGTAAATAAATAAAATTAGGTATATTATATTAGTTAGAGTTATTTTTAGTGAAAATTTTGAGGAAAATATAAAAAATTTAAGGAGGGCAACTGCTCGCGTGTACATTTAATTATTTAATTTTCAAATCCTGAACGCCCAGTTAGTTACCTATCGAGTCGAATCTGGCCTTTGAGATTTTTTTGTTTCCTTTCCTCTTAGACCAAAAGAAAAATAAATTAAAAATATTGGCAATAATCCCTTGCCACGTGAAGTTAAAACCGTTAAGATCAAAAGAAGATTAATAGGATGAGGGGGATTTGTTTTAAATTTTTAATTAAAAAATTGTTTATTCCTCTCAAAAAACTTCACTTTTCAATTTTTTATTGACTGATATGTTTAGTAAATAAAAAAATATTTTATTAAAAAATATAAATTCCCTAAAGTACAACAAAGGGAACAAAGTAGAAAAACGAACGGGAAGGATAACAAACAAAAAAAATAAAGCAACAATTGGTTTTTTTCTTCCGTTTTTTCTTCCCTCTAATTTTATTTTAAAACCAAATGCTTCTTTTACAACACGTTATGGCGTGGATACTGGTAATTCTAGGAGTTTACTATAATTATCAAAATATCACCTAGCTTTCCTAAATTTCCCTTTGATTATTCCAAATAAATCTAATTATTCTAAAAATTATTTTTTGGTTTATTGTTTGGCAAGTTATGGCCCAAATTTTCAATAATTTCTACGCAAATGGTCATCTTTTTAAGTCATTTTTGCTCACAACTTTTCTCATATTTCATTCATACATTCAAAAATTCTGAAATTTATAAATTTATTAGCTGTAAATTATTCTTACAGATTTTCATGTTTGTAGTCATGTTCTGTTTTATATGGCACGAATATAGGAACCATCCGTTTCCCATTATAGTCAAATTGTCGGTAAATTTTCTGTGAATTGTCCCTACCTCTATCTATTTTTACAATTTATTTTTATTTTTTAAAATTAATAAAGAAATCTGTGTATTATATGTATTTATGTATGTACATATTTATTTTTTTTCATTTCCCATTCATTTTATTTTTATCTAAAAATAATAGAAACAAAAATAAATTTATTTAAATAAATATTTAATTAACTAAAAAACCCTTTTTTGTCAAAGAAAAAATTTTCTTTCTCTTTGCAAAAAAATTATATTTTTTTAAATAAAATTTTAAATTATAAAAAAGGAAATTAAAAAAAAAGAAATATTTTGAGGGATAGCTAAACACCAAAAATCATTTTTGTAAGTAGCTATTATTTTCTAACACGTGGATTTTATTAAATAAAAATCAATTAAAGTTGGGAAGGGGGAGGGGATTTTAATTTTTAAAAATAATTATTTTTGAGGGAATTTTTAATGGTAAAAACTTAAATTTATTCTTTCCTTTTTTTAAATTTATAAAAAAATTTTTGTGGAAAATATACGATTTTTTTATTACTTTTAAAAATTGCATCGGACAATTCACCGAAAAATAAATGAAAAATTCTTTCCTAAACACTTTACAGGGGCGGTATTCTAAAATCGAATTAAGGGGTTAACCAATCCTTAACCAACCCTCAGTTAACCCAGAACCCTTATTCAAAAATGAGTGAAAGGATAACCTCGAGTTATAGTTCGCTCTCGGGTATTAGAACCAGCGTCTGCGGGTAAAATTAGTACCCCCGTCTGAATACTGCCCCAGAAAATACTAATTATATATATAAGGATTAGACTAGAAATCTCACTTACAATTATGCTAAAATTCTCCTAAAGTTTTCTAAATACAAATTTATTTTCGGTGAATTGTCCATTCTCTTAAAAATTAATCTTTTGATCTTTGTTCATTTAAGAATCATTAAACATTTTTATATTTTGTTGGGTTCTCTTGACAACGAACAGGAACACCTTATTTGATAAATTTGCCTTCCTTTAATGTATAATCCACTGAAATAATCCGGATACACTCCTAGGCGTGGGTGACTTTAAAACCGTTGTAGCTTTGTATCTGTTTTTATTTTTGAGGAATATTTCCTGTCGGGACATGCCGATTAGTGCCTTATACCCAAGTTAGCCTTTTTAATATTTAGATGGCACCTTCAAAAGGATACATTCAAATCTCAACTAAAACAACCTCAGGACCGTTATCATAAAAAAGTCGTGATATCGAGATTCGACTCTATTCGGCTTTACCTTTCACCAAAACCATTTCGAGTAAATTGTATTTTCGGTGAATTGTCCCTTGTCAAAATTTTGTTTAAATTGAGAGTTCAAAACAAAAATTCTTTAACAGCAAAACACCAAATCTTTTTATCGTTTCACTTTTTTTGATTATAAAAACGAACAAAATAATGTTTATGTATATGTTTACTTTATTGTATGTTTGTCTGAAAACCCCGTGAAATTTTTATTTAAAAAATGTTGAAAAATTAGGAATAACAACTTTTTAATTGGACAAAAAATTGTTTTTGTTATTAATAAAAAATTGTTTTTATCATTTTAAAAACATTTAAAAATGTTTTTAAAATGTTTAAACAACAAATTTCTGAACTGAGTTTTCCCCTTTTCCACATTATTGGGATTTCTGATTTTATGAGTATCATTTTAAGATGATTTTTCTAAAGGACCAGGGATGTGTTTGCTTTTTAGCTTCTGACTTACACCAAATTTTATTTTTTTGGTTTTTTCAAGTTTAAAAATGTCTTTGTTATATCATAGGATACGTTCTAACCTAATACAATAATCGAATGTTTTTAACGAGAATTGGCAGGGATAAGGAAGCCCAAAACTGATCGCTACTAGACCCACATACTTAATAATTATAAAAAATATAACCTCAATCAGCTTTGATTTTGAATCGTAAACAATAGTTGCTGTGTCCCATAATTAATTCAGAAAATACCATAGACCCAGAAACCCGAGAAAATAATAAATAAATTCCCATAATTTGCCAGACTTCCCATAATTTGTCCCTTAAACAAATAATCAAAAACCTCCTTTCCTCCCTCTTTATTAAAAAAATATTTTTTGTGTTTTTTTAAATTCCTCGACTAAAGAATTTCTTCTTCATTTTTGTTTATTTGTTTTTTTTATTCCCTCAGGACCAATTTAACACACAAATAAACGTTCTCTCGACTGTCCTTTCCTTTCATTTACGTAAACTTTTGTGTCCTTATTTTTTTAAATAATTTTTTTCCGTGTTTATTATTTCCCCCCTTCATTTCCATCAATTCCTCTCTTCTTTCCCCTTTCAATTTTTCTTCTCTTTTTTTCAATTTTCTCGTCATTCTCTCGTCAACTACTAATCGTCCGATCGGTCTTAACTAAAAAATTTTACAAACACTTTTATTTTAAATAATATTCACTCCCTTCCCTCTTTTAATTATTTATATCTTTTTTTTAAATAAAATTTTGTGTGTTTGATAACAAATAAATAAAAATATTTAAAAATAAAAATTGCAGTGATGGCTTTTTCTCTTTAACACGTATCTTTAGGCAAATTTGTTTTATTACTTTTTATTGTTAAAATAACTAAAATTTTCGTTTTAAATTTGCGCGTTTGTGTGTCCTCAATTTTTCTTTTGATTTCTCAAAGGGGTTGCATAGGCGCGGAGGTTTGTTGGGCACGGAGGTGTATAAAACAAACATTTTAGAAGCTAAAAACGTGGAAATTTGAGAAAATATGTCCTTGATAGTGCTTTAACCGTTCCTAAATTTTCAAAATTTTTGGTTTTGTTTTTAGTGAGTTGTGATCGAAGAACCACAAAAAATCCACAAAAATCAACATTTTTGACCATAATTTTTCAAAAACTTGACAGAAAAATCTGAAATTTTTAATCAAGGTATTTAACATAGTTTGGAATATTTATACAAAATTTCACGATTTTAGGGTATCTTTTGACAAATTTATTAAAATTCGCGCCCTACCAGTCTCTTTCCTCAACTTAACTTTCTCCAATTCTTCCCCTATTCTGCCACATAAATACGAAAAAGCTCGCTTTTGATCAAAGAAAAATATTCGTAGCCCTTTTAGGGGAATTATTTATATGTTTGTGGTTTGATTTTTACTTTTTCCTTTCAAAATTTTTCAAAAAATTTTTTTTTTATTTTCTTTACTCAATCTAAGGTCAATTGCTCTAAAAGTTCTTTGAAAACTTTTTTATTACCTTCGCCGTTCCGAAATTTTTTCTTAAAATTTATTTTTTCTTCTTTGCTCTGTCTATACACTTTTGTCGGAGTTTATAATAAAATTTTTTGAAATACAAAATCTTCACTTTCTTTTTGTAAAACAAAAATCTTCCCCTTTTATCTTTCCTCTTCTGAAATAAAATTTATTTTTTATTTTTTTTAATTTCCGGAAACTTCTCTGATTCTTTCAGTATAATTTTCCGGTTTTATTTCTCGTTATTAAATGTTCAGTTAATCTTTCCGGAAAACTTTTTAATTTTTGGAGACGGATTCCGGATAGGGAGGGTTGTGTATATACTCTTTCCGGATTAATTTATATTGAGGAAAATTTCCGGAATGTTTGTAGAATCCGGAAAAAGCTGCTGGATTTTTTCGGAATGATCTCTCTTCCTTTCAATATTTCTTTTCCGGAATTAAAAAATTATTTTTAACATTAATAAAGACGAATTTTATTTATTTAAGGTGATAATTCTGTTAATATGTATTTACATTATTTTTCCTTTCCGGAATAAATTAATAATTAATTATTTTTTTATTTTTCAGTTAATTAGGGCTGCTTTTTGCAATTCAAAAATCAACAAATAAATAAACTTTTTAATTGCCCTATAATTACAAAATTTATTCTGGAATAAAAATTCTCGGAAAGAAAATTAAAAACAAAACGTCCAAAAAACCTATTCAGCTGCAGCAGCTTTTTATTGCCGCCGCTGCTGATTGAATTTTGATAAAAAGCCCATGCGTAGATTTCTGGCTTTGGGCTGCCAAGAGCCGTCACTGCTGTGCTGTCCAGCCGAAGCTGCAAGTCCACCGCCACTTTCAGCCTTTCAACGTTCACCTAATAATTGCTCTGTTGGAGCCACCACTTTAATTCCTTCGCCGAATCCACTCAGCGCCGCCACAACAGCTGTGGACAGGCTTTTTACAAATATTGAACGCCAACTTAGTGCAAAGATAGCACTCATCGACCCGCTGCTTTTAACAGCTAGTGGTGGAGGGGGAGGAGGGGGTGGTGGAGGTAATGAAGATGCCAATGATCAACAGGTGAACTTCAAACTTTTTTACCTTATGAAAGGCATTCATTGGGTCGGGGTCATAATACAAAGTTGAAGGACACTACTAGAGAGACCCTCTAGTGGAAAACAATATCTAATCTGAAAGAACTCTCCAATTGGAGGCTCTCTAATGGAAAAGCATCCCCATTAGAATCGAAGGTTATTAAAGAGGGCTACTCTCAAATAAAAACTCCAAAAGGGAAGTTATTTAAAGATTAAGAGATTCTCTTTGTATTCATGGGCATTTTTAATGAAATTACTAGGAGAATTATTATTTAATCTTCAAAAATTTATAGAAAAGTCCTCTACCCAGATGTGGTGAACAACCTCAATATACCACCTCAACACAACTACAAGAACAACAAAAAGACAATAACAATAGAGAAGATGAACAGAAAAAACAAAGTGAAGAAGGGAATAATCAAAATCAAAAATTGGAGGGAGGGCCACCTCAGAAAGGGCTTGACGCCTTTTTTGCGGCATTGTCAAGTGCTAATGATAATGGACAGAAACAACAAGAGGTTTTTGGACATTCTTGTTAATCCTTTAAATAAAAATATTTTTATTTCCAGAAATCCCCACCCCAAAACCAATTAATTTGTGGAGGACCATCATCGACTCAATTTAGCTTCCCACAGACATCTGCTCCCACAACGGCTTTTCCTTCTACCGATGATAGGCATAGTAATGCTAATTTTGTTGGAAATAACAATAACAACAATATTTCCTCCAATACATCACCAACAAACCCTTCAAAACCTCAAAATCCTTTAGTTTCAAATCAACAAAATTTAAGTAATGCTATAGCCAATGCTGCAGTAAATATAGTAAATGCAGCAATTGCTGTACAACAACATCAAAACCAACAACAACAGCAACATTTGGCTGCTTTACAATTTGCTGCACAATCAGCCGCTTCTATGCCATTAAGTCCTCAACAGGGGTTAAATGCCCAGGTTGGGGCAATTCTAAATCAGTTAACTACTGCTGCCCCAAATATTTTACGACCGCTTGGAACACAGTCTAAGCCTATACCGGTAATTTTTGATATTTTATACAGTCGGATTTTATTATAAGATAGACCCAATAATATATATATACAAAACAGTCTAAAATAGGTTTTTTCCTAAATTTGGTTGGCACCGGGTGGCATGCATCAGGGATGTCAAAATTCTCTGAATAATATCGGGTTTCGGGTAATCCGTGATAGCGTTGGCAGTGTTGGTATACCTTCCGCCTTCCACTTATAAAATGTGGCATGACCCATCCCTTCTTGAAGGGCTGTCTAAACAATACCTCTCTATCTAAGATACCTCATTTTAAGATAATGAGATAAGGCTAAAAAAATTTTATTTTTTAGCTAGTAGAGGATAAGGTAGATTTAATGCGTTTTAAAAGAAAAGAACCTAGAGAATGGTCTGATGATGATGTTATTGCTTGGATTTTGGATGTGGCTAGAAGACATAGAATTCCTTGTGAGATTTTTAGACAGTAATTATCTTTACAGGGGGGGGGGGCTCAGAAAGGTTTTTGAGAGCCGGAGAAGGGAGGGGTGTTTTTTACGAATTTTTAAAAATTTTCTATGAACCCTTTGAACAAATTATATTAAAAAATTCAAATAATTTTGTCCTTTTCTTAATTTTTATGACTAATTTTTAAAAAATATTTCATCGATTTTAGGCGAAAATATGAATTTAACAAAATTCGCCAAATGCACTGGACCTTTATTAATGTTGATGAATGAGCAAAGTTTTAAAGAGCAAGATCCCAAGTAAAAACAATTTTAAAAAATTATTTTAAAAATAAAAAAAACAAAGACACATAATTTTTAAAAATAAATTAAAAAAAAGTTGTCTATTTTTTGATTAATTAATTTTGGCGTTTCTAATTTTAAAATTTTTAATAATTTTTTGTCTGAAATAAACCTGGTTTCTATTGCGGATAAATTTTCCGGACAGTTTTTAAATGATAATTACATAATTTTCGAACCCAATACTAGCAGGATAGCCCTTTCCAAATCACCAAAAGTGGGCATGCTTCCCAAAAAGGGAGCGAAATCGGTCAAAAAGTGGGCAAATGCCTCGCAAATGAGGTAAAAGGACTACCATGCATGCTAGATAACCTCTCATTAGAAGTTACAATTTTTCAGCATCAAAGAGGGGTCTTGAAAAAAAACCAGCTCTTCTTTATAAGCGAATAAAGTAGATCCCTCAACTCAAGATCACCAAATCCCCCAAATCTCAACATCCCCAAAAACAATTTAAACTTATATTAAAATTTTCCAGTTATGGATCTTTACTTTTTGGTGAATTTTGTAAATTGGTTACCGACGAAAATTTTATTGATGAATGGATGCGTATTAACGGGCCTTCATGTAGCAGTAGTTATAGTGACCATCAAAGACAGTCTTCAACAATTAAAGAGAACCCTCCTCCTCCTCAACCTAATTACCAACAACAATCTCTCCAAATGACTAGAGCAACAAATAATGTTGGGAATTTATTGATGGCCAATTTAGCTTTGAAATTATCTGCTCCCCAATCTTCTGATTCTTCTGGACAACAAGGACTTCTTTTGGCAGCTGCTGGATTTGCTGCAAATAATCAACAGCAACAACAACACTATCATCAACAGCAGAGATTAACGGGCCAATTACCCCCTCCTTTAGGGCATTTATTATCTCCAACAGTTGGACAGTCCTCTCTATTGGCACTTCAACAAGGGGGGACACCAACAATACACGCTCCCTCCCCTATAAACCCTTCACAAAGACAACAACAAATTGTGGGGGCTGTTAATCATATTTTGCAGCAACAACCTGGAGGAAGTCAACAAGGGATTGGAGGGAGAATGTGTGTTAGAGGAGTGAGACCGGGACAACAACGGAGTTTGAAAGGTATGGAAATGAAAGATTTATCTTGCACTTTACCCTTTGAATGTTTAATACGAAGACACTCTGATAAAAGACACTTTCTAATAGAAGTCCCTCTCTAATAAAAAGCCCTCTTCAATTACAGATACTCTTTAATAGGCACCCTTCTAACAGGAATGTCCCTTTCTACATACATACTAATACGAGGATTCTCTCCAATAAGAAGGAATAGTCATAATTCACTATTAGATACCCTCTGGCTAAAATTGTGATTATCTAAGACTTTCGATTTATTAGAATAGTTGAGAATTCACTAATTTTTGGCTTTTTTTGCAAAAATTTATGCAAAATACTCTACTCCAAAAATAAATAGATAGGTAGATGATGGGCCATTTTTCACAAAATGATTTATAAAAATAATTTATTTTTTTTTCCCAAAATTTATTACTTTTAAATAAAAGTAAAAGATCGTGGAACGGAAAAAAATTATTTTTATTTTTTATTAAATTTTAATGTTACACTTTAATGAGAGAGATCCTTTCTAGCTTAATATAATTTATTGGAAGCCTTTTTTTTGTAAGAAAAAAAAATTATTGTGTACTTAATTTTTGGACATACGTATTTTTGTAGTTTTAGTTAGTGGAACATTTTAATAAGTTTTTTAAAAAAGGTCGATTAATTAATTAATAGATTTTTGATTAAAATTTAATGGAAATAAAAAATAATAAGGTGTAAGAAAAAAAAGATTTTGCAGTTGAAAATATTTTACCTAACTTATAAACTTACCGAACTACAATCCACTGACTATTAAGTTCGAGGGAAGGGGATTGAAAGGGGCAATTTTTGGATTTTGAGATAAATACAAGTTACTTTCTAACATTATTTCTAAAAAAGCATCCATTTCAGTCAAATTTGGATCTGAATTTTATTTTATTTTTTGAAAGTCTCCTTTACCCTAGATTGGGTTCACTGCTCTAGATACCCTTTTTTCGTTTCTACCGCTATTTTAAGCTATTTCCCAGTCTATTTTTAACTGATCTCCACATTATTCCTCCATGTCGGTAGATTACCCCATGATAAAATGTCTTTAATTCCCCTTTTATTTTTTAGTAGCGGAACAAAAAATTCGTCGAAACAAAGATGGCAGACCACGAAAACGTTCTCAACACACAAAAGGCAACAAATTATGGGAATTCATTAGGGACGCATTAAAAGACCCAAGAACTTGCCCTTCAATTGTTCGTTGGGAAGATCCTTCTGAAGGAGTGTTTCGAATTGTTGAATCTGAACGGTTGGCATTTTTGTGGGGACAGAAGAAGAATAACCAAAAAATGACTTATGAGAAGTTGAGCCGAGCAATGAGGTGAGGGAGAGAGGAATTTTTTAAAGAGATTTCTTTAGAAAGAGGAATTTATTTTAGAAAGATTTTTTTGAAATTTTAAGGGGTTTTTGGATTTTTTTGGATTTTTGAGATTACGGATTTTAAAGATTGGACTTTTTTTTTCTTAAATATTTTTTCGACATTTTGTTGTTTCCGAATTTGATTTTTGGCTTGATTTTTTCTAATTATTTTAAGTCACCCTTTTAGTATTTTTTTTTATTTTTCGAGGTTTTAAATATTTTTTGAGACTCCCGCATTGTAAACCCTATAATGATATAAGCCAACAACTGGTATAAGATATAAGCCCCTATACTAGGGTCCGACATATCCAAAGAGTACCGATATAGGTAAAGCTCATAACTGATCTTAGCCCCAATCCTTTATCTTTTCTTCTAAAATAAGATTATAAGGAGGAAAAGCATCCTGAATATATTCTTCACCCTCTTATTTTTTCTTTTCAGGACTTATTACGAAAAGCAAATACTTGTTCCTGTGCCAAAATCAGGACTTTACCCTAAAAAATTGGTCAGTTTACCTTTAAAAACAAACAAAAATTATTTCCCTTCCCTTAAAGGTTTACAAATTCGGTCCGAGCGCTATGGGATGGAAAATGGCTGCTTCTATGGCTGTCCAAACACAATTAGCAATTGTTGGTAGTTCAACAGATATTTCTCCTCAAATTCATCATCACCAACTTCAACGTTTATGAAATTCGTTAGAAAAAATTTTCAAAAAATTTCTGTAGGCAATTAAAATAAAAAAAAATTCTAGTCTTTAAAAAAACTAGAGGAATTAATGAAAAAGAAAAGAGAGAAAATTAAATAATGATCTCATTCCCTAAAAATATACAAAATAAATATATATTTCTATCAAAACTTCAATAAATTCCACAAATTATATGCGTACTTGTTTTTATCAGTCGGAACTCATTATAGGATAATTTACTAATCACTTTCCTCGATTTAAGAGATTTTATTAATCATCTGCCTAGCCATTAGGAGAGCTGAGGATTTTTTGGTTCGGTTCCAAATTTTCCCTAAGCCTATCCTAAAAAATTCTAAAAAGATTTCCCTACCAAAATCTCGAAAAATATCCCTAACCAAAAGCCCTAGTAATATCTCTAAGAACCCTCCAAAAACCCTAAATAGAACATGGAAAGGGTTCAGATCGTGGCAAAGACAGGATGTCCCCTTCCCTCTTCAATAGGGCATTTTATTTATATGTATTAACTACGACTTTTTGGGCCACAAAAAGGTATCTAGAAATGAGTTCAGTCTGTTTATCTAATAAATTAAAAAAATTATACAAAACAAAATCTCGGGTAGAAAGTCCACATTTTAAATAATTTTTTTAAAAAATACCCTTGGTGAGAATAATTATTTTCTCAAAACAAAAAGTTTTTTTTAAATTATTTCTTTTTAATGTAAAATAACCTCACCCAGGGTGCATATTCTTCTTTTTAACTCTGTTATCTTTAAAAATTATTAATTTTCATCAACTTGCAAAAATTGATCTTGCCGTTCTTTTTACTTTTTTATACAAAAATTAGGGATGAGGAAATGGAGAGGTTAACCTTTGAAGTTTTTTGTAATATTAACCCCTCTATTTTGTAGACTCTCATTTTAATGTTAAATTTAGAGGGATTTAAAGCCGCAACACTATAAGGTTTCCCTTGGTGAGAATTTGGGTTCAGGGAATCCTTTTTAGATATTGAAGATTTACCCAAAATCTTACCAAATCCTAATCCATTCCTAGAGATTGGAAAAAACTCGAAATCCAGCAAAAATATTATTCCAAAAATTTTTCTTCGAAGTTTGCTAATTAAATTTCTTCATAACAGGGTTATAGACAAATACCAATTCTTCAAATTTTTAAAGCAAGCCAACCTCTGCATCGTCAAAACGTCGTAGCGCTCATTCAGCCCTTCTCCATTCTCATCCCTTTAATTTAATCACTTTTTAAAATTTTTCTTTTTTTATTTTTCCGGTTTAATTGTTCCTCTTTTAATTACCAGTGATTGTTAGACTTTTCTTTATTTTTTTAAAAACCCGGTAAAAGACAAAAATTAATTTAAATTTTAGTTTTAATATCATAATCAACACAAAACACATTCTCTCCTCAAAAATTATTTTTATTTTTTCTTCTCAGATTAATATTTTCTTTTTAAATTTTTCCTGGAATTTTGTAAACTATTTTTTTAAAAGAGTAAAAATATTTAATTTTAAAATAAAGTTTATTTGAGTAAAAATTAAAAAATGTGTTTTAGTTAATGACTTTTTTCTTTCCCAGCCCTATTGATGAAACTTGATAAAACTCAGTTTCTTGGTAGAAACACGCTTTAAATTTACTTAATATAATTTATTCAATTAACTTAGCATTGAAATATTGCAAACTACATATTAAAAAGTTAAGGGCTTTTTCGTTCTTCTCTTGTTCACTGGATTTATTTTTGGATGTCGGTTTCAATACTGGCAAATTTTATTCTAGAGTTTTAAGCTTTACGTTTATTCTCGTTAAAACATTTAAAATGTAGAAAGCTTGGGCAAGATTAAAAATTTGTTTCATACCCAATTTGGGAAAAAATAATATGACATTCTTGCTGGTAGAACAATGCTAAGGATTTTATCTGCAGATTTTTTTATCTGCAGCTACCAGGTGCTTTACTGATTAAGTGTAGGTGCTCTACTGACTACTTATTTAACAGATCTGTATTCTTTTCGGTCACGTAAGTCTCCAGTTTGATAATTTTTTAATCCTGCCTGGTCTAATATGTACATATATGTATTCCTCGATGATTTCATGTTACCTAAGTAGAAATTAATATACTAATTTGCTATAAAAATGTCTCAATTTTGTTAATAAAATAACGATGGGTAGTCTGAATACTTTTCTTAGGGGCAAATCTATTATGCCAAGAAGCCAAATTTCTTCCTTTTTTTGGCACTGCGGTCCCCCGTTCCCCTGGGAATTCGCTGCACCGAGTAACGGGGATGAACCCTAGCTTGAACTAATAGAAAGTACCCCATAATAGTAGTTAATTACTCGCTCGATAAAAGCATGAGTTAAAAGGCTGTTTGATGAGCTAAGGAATTAAAAAAATTTTTTTGAAAAATTCTCAAAATTAACTGCATTGAAACAGAAAATGTCAGAATTTTCGAATCGTCAGTGATTTAACTCGAGAAAATTTTATTTCATGAAACTGGGAAAACAATATGAAAACCCTAAATTCGAATTCATATTTTGAGAAAAATTTAAAAAAAAGTTTATTTTGACCCTATCCAGAAACAAAATGCTAAAAAAAATTTTTATGAAAACTTCACATTTACCAGTTGCCAAACTGGTACCCAAAAATATACAAACAAAACTAATAATCGCTTACTTAAAACTTAAATAAATATGCCTAAATAAATTTTAAATAAAAAATAATTAATATTACGTAAAAATTAATTTTTAAGTTTAATTGTTTTGGAATGAATTCTACATAATTAACGTATTCTACATATAGCTATGTATAATTACAAGCAAATATATTCAAATATTTTCTTTTGTCTGATTATCAGGCTCTAATAGATTAGAGTTTCACCGGAAGTTCCGGTTCCGGTTCCGGTTCCGGAAAGTTCCGGTGTTTTTTTGGTTCCGGTTCCGGTTCCGGGAACCGGAACTCAAATTGGTTCCGGTTCCGGTTCCGGCTCCGGTTTTCAAATCGGTTCCGGGCAAACCGGAACTTTTTTACACCCCTAAAGATTGATTTTTTTTTAAATATGGGTTGGCCTTCCCCGGCTGGCCTTGCAATATTCTCAAAATTTTCGCCTGCGGCGCCAGAAAAGGAAGAAATCTAGCCCCTTGTCCTCACAAATTTTCAAAATTTTTGCCTGCGGCGCCAGAAAAGGAAGAAATCTGGCTTCTTGTCGTTCCAAATTCTCAAAATTTTCGCCTGTTAAATGAAGTTGAATGGTATCTCGTAGGATTTGGATGGATGAAGGTGGATTTTAAGTTACATCATGTGATTTCAAGGGGCCATATGTAATACTGAGGGATTTGGGTGTGATACTGAGGGATTCAGCTGTGCAAGGTAGATATCAGGGATAGGATAGCTGGGGATTTGGCCTTCCAAAACTTGGCATTTTTTACTTGGCCTTCCTAAATTCACAAAATTTTCGCCTGCGGCGCTAGAACGAATAAATTATTAGAACGAATAAACGAATAAACTAGAACGAATAAACTAGAAGAATAAATTATTTTTTAGAATATACATGGGTTAATGGGGATTTGGATGATATTGGGTGATCTCGTGTATCAAGAATTATAATGGTATATCGGTGATTTGATATCTAGTGATCTGGTGGGATGAAGGATAATTCGAAGAAATTCAGGGATCAAAGGGGAAATTATATAATTGGTGTCGTATCGGGCATATCAGGGGATTTGGGTAGTTCGGTTCGGATTTACGGTTCGGTTTTGGTTAACAGAAAGTTCCGATTCGGTCAATCGTTTCGGTTAACAGAATAATTGGGTGAAACCGACAACCCTACCTTAAATTCAAATTAAAAAATTTTTTTTTCAATTTTTTAAATTTGCTAGCAAATTTTTTTAAAGTTCCGGTTCCGGGCCGGAACTTAGAAAAGTTCCGGTTCCGGTTCCGGAAACCGGAACTCAAATTGGATCCGGTTCCGGTTCCGGTTCCGGTCAGAATTTCGGTTCCGGTGAAACACTATAATAGATTCGACTTGGGAAGTTGAAAGAAATGCAATATGAGGATATTTTGAAGTATTCTGTTCGCTGTTCCAGAGAGAACAGAATTTAAATTCATTATAAAATTTTGAAAGATTCCTTCCTTTAATTATTAATTAAACTCTTGTTTTGAATTTTTAAAATACCACACTTCCTCTCCATAAAGAAAACAAAAAAGTCATTTATTTACTATTAGAGTTTAATTTAAACATTAATTTTTGCGATAAATAAGCAAATAAAAAAATAAACTTCAGATTCTCATTTCTTTAAAGTAAAACTTCAATAAAGTATCCATATCCGGTATTGGACGTTTACAATATTTCTCCAAAAAAGCCTTGAATGCTGGATGGTTTGCCTTTAAATAGTTAAGAAAATTAAAAGAAAAATATGGGGAAGTCTTTCTTAAATCCCAAAAAATTCAGCTTTCTAAAAATTGTTTTAAGGATGGGGAGGTTATTTTATTTTTTGTGCTCCTTTTTATTTTTCCCAACACTCATCTGCATTTTCCATGTTAATAGCTTTTCAATAAAAAAAAGGACTGAATATTTTGAATAAATATGGTTGACGGATTGGCTGACCATAATAATCCTTTTGGTTGAAGGATTTCTAAAATGTTTCGAGGATGGTCGTGGTTAGGGTTATTACCTGACGGGGGGGGGCATTGGGGAAAAATTCCCCGAATTTCAGGGAAGGGAAGAACCCTAGACGTGGAATTTAGGAAAAATAAAAATGAGGAAGTTATTTAAAGAAATGTTTTGAAAATCCACAAAAATAAAGATAATATGCATTAGAGCCCGGCTCGATACGATATTATTTCGATATTTTTCGATATCTATCGAAAAATATCGACCGACCCCTTCGGCCGGGCTCTAATATGCATAGAACCCTCCAAAAACCCCCCAACTTCTCCCCCTTCTCTATCTACCTTCGCTAATGGAATTCCAGCAAAATTCAAAGCAGAACATAATTCACTATAAAAATTATCAACTGGCTTCTTCTTATTTTTTGATGCCAAAAACCAGGGCAACATCTTTATATGTGTGAAAGTTTTAGAGTGTTTCTCCAATTGAGTGATTTTTGAACAAGGAATCTAATTTAAATTTTAGAGAAAATTTTCTTAAAATTCAACAAACATTTTCCGAACAAGCCTGACAAAAAATCTTTTCTCCGTCCGTAGTAAAGACTCCATTTGGGTATTTGGAGACCCATCTTTTACAAATATAGCTTCTCGAAGAAGTTAAATTAGGCAGTTTTCTCTTTGGTTTTTCTTAAATAAAAGCAAGATTTAATTAATTTTAATTTAAGACAAGCCGTTAATTGTGACAACACGGAATGGGCCGAAGATTCTTCTGGAGTTCATTATAAAATCCAGACAAAATTCAGATTCAGTAAACTTCAGATTTAGAGAACACCTCTACACCTCTAGGCCTAGAGTTTTGATATTTTTAGTGTTTGTTGTATCGAAGGTTGACTTTAATTCTGGACTTGAATCCAATTCAGAATTATTTTACTGATCTATCTAAATCCAAAAAATTTAATTAGTCGATTAATAAAAACTGAATAGAAATTAATTTGCATGTATAGCAAATATACTTGATCAAAAAAAATAATTTTTAGTTTATTGCAAATATTGGAAAAATTGAAAAAATGATAAAAAGAAAAAATAAAGGCAACGAAAAAATGCGAGGAGAAAAGAGAAGAAAAATCAATTATGTGGTGAGGATAAATACAAACAGATTTTACTATAAAATACCCTTATATGTGGCTTAAAAAATCTTATCCTATAATTTTTATTTAAATTTGGATACTCTTTCCATTATACGACCGTAAACTTAGTGCCAGCTTACTTTGATCGGCCATAACTTTTTAAAGTTTGATCTAACACAAATTAATTTTATATCATTCGAAAGCCATCGATAATCTGTATCTTTTCTTTAAAAGAATAGATCAAGTCTGATCATTCATTAAAAAGTTATAACCCGATAAATTGAGTTATTTGATGCTTTTTACATTTATCGAATTCTAACTAAAATTTAAAAAATTTTTTTAAAAAATTTCCCTTAAGGAGTATTTAAACTTAAGGGTATTTTTAAAGGAGATTTTAAATATTTAATAAATCAGTATTAGAATTAGATAAAGGGCTATGATCCAAATGTTGAACAATTGTTTTAACTTTAAATTCGACTCTTATTTTTTCAAATTCTCTTGAATACGAGAGAAGAAAGGACATGTGTAAAATAGCTAGAGTCCATTCTGCAACCTTTAAATGGAAAGAAAATTTTTGAAATTAAAAATTTAAAAAACCGCTGAAAGGCAATGAAGTCCATAACCCTTAAAAAGATTTTTTTCAAGAAAAGCAAAAAATAACAAAAAATAAAATCTCAAGACAAAGTCAAACTCTTAATAAGAAATCGAAACTTTGAAAATTATAAGAAGGTAGAAGTGTGAATAAACTAATTCGAAAATTGCCAGCCAACACATCCCCAAAACTCTCAACTCGTTAGAATTGGTAGTTTAGTTCGATTCTGGTATTATATATCTGGGCTAGGAGTGAGTGCAAGAGACAATCTTAAAAAATGCAAGACGCAACGCAAGGCCAAAATTTAACGCAAGACGCAACCCCTGTGCTCACCCCTGATCTGGGCTATTCTTCGGCATTTAAAAATCGGCCGAAAAGTTTTGATTTTTTCAATAAATCGATAGAGCTTCTCGTAGGTCTATAATTAACATTCCCGCATCCAAAAAATAAGAAAAATTGTAAGGACTCAAAAATAAAAATATTCCCTTATAAAATATGTAATAGAAAAACAAAAAAAATACAGGCATAGGCGAGAATTTCCTGTTCCAAGGTCGAGGAGTTGGCAAATCGGGGAAATAATGATGAAAGGTCAAAGAGGCTGCCAAACCAAGAAAAAAAGCTTTAAAAGTTTAATTTTTGATTTTTTAAAAATTTTTTTAAAAACCAGTAAAGAAACAAAAAGTCGAAGCTATTGCAATTGTTAATCGAATATAAACAATTCTTTTTCCAACAAATTTTGGAAACATTTTAAAACAAATAAAAGATTGTATTAACATATAAATACATCCACTTCCAAAACTGAGAAGAGCACCTTTTGTAAAAATTAAAAAAATATGAAACAAATATGGGGAAATTCATTAAAAATTAAAAAAATTTTTTAAGGTAAATCGAATTTTAGGACCCCCATTTTTCTCCCAAGTATTTTCCTTTATATGTAAGAAAAGGCAAATAAATGATGTCTTTCAAGAATTACCAGCTTCATTAAGTTATTTGGGGGAATAAGAGGCTTTGGGGGAATAAGAGGCTACAGCCTCCCCCTTTAAAGAAGTATGTCTGACCATTATGTACATATAAAGGAAGGTACTTGAGGAAGAAAAAATGGGGAACTAAAAGCGGTTTTCCCATAAAATTTTTTAAGGGGTAAATAAGGTCCGAACTAAGGGTTTCCATCCGCACTCAAAAATCGAGAGAAATGGAGAAAAGAAATGAAAGTTTTTAGGATCGTTTGTTGTGGGCAAAATCTTCTCAATTTATCCATCTAACCTTCTTAAAATACTAATTATTGTGAAAACAATTGTCTTAAATTAGAGTAATTAACAAGCCAAGAATAAACGATCACCTATTGTATCACCTACATATATATTTACTTTAAAGTCTGTGGGGCAGATTAATTTTAAATAGGAATTGTTTGGATATACATAAATGTAGTTTACGAATTAATTTTTATACCAGTCAGATGTATCTGTATAACAGCAGTTTCTTGAAAATTAGCAACTATAAACATTCCAACACCCCCGAGAAGACCAGCAAAAAGTGAAAGGATATTTGCTAGAGAAATAGGCTGATACTCTTGATCTGAATTTTGAGAAAGTAATTCGGCGACCAAATGGTATCTGAAACAATGGAAATTTCGAGAAAATAGACATCCGAAAATTAATGGCAAAATCCGGGCAGTTTTATTCTAGAAGGAAATATAAACAGAAAAGAGGATTGAAATAAAGATACCAAAAGGACTTGGAATTGGGGCTGTGGGATTGAGTGGAAATTGAGTTCCAAATTAGAACTGATTAAAGCATAATTTCAAGGTTTTAGGCTAAAGTTTGAATAAATTATTGTGAAACTTTATGCCTTAAAGCTTTATGCTTTAAAATTTCGAGAAAGCAATAAAATCCCTGATTTATTTTTAATTAAAAAATTCAACAAAAACCTGAGAATAACAATCAACTCAATAAAGAAAGCACAAACATTCAAAAACATAGAAAATATACAGGATTCAGGCCTGGAATCACCAGAAGCCGAAATATAGGGGAAAACGGGGTCAACATCTCCTCTCCAAACAGAAAAAGAATATGTAATGACTTGAAGGAAATTTTTTAAATTTTTTAAAATAAAAATTAAAAAAAGACCTAACATTGCGACAAAATTTATTGAAAATAAAACAGGCAAATGACCAGCTCCAATACTTAAATAATTTTTCAGAATTTTTAAAAATAATTAATTTACCGTCCCATTTGAAGTAAATACCTTTCCAACATTTTTAAAAACAAAATTAATTAATCCAGAGGTCAATTAATATTTTGAAAAGTCTCTCGATCTCGAAAAATCTCGATTTTTGACTAAAATATAATCAAGCGCCAAGTAAGCGCGGCCAAGAAGGCACAAAGCTATAACTAGCTGGAAAATACTGACTCTTAACAATTTTGGTACTAATCTCTTTAGCTCGATGAGAGGAATCGTTTAGTACTAAATTTGATAAGATTTGAAAATTTTGAAGCAATTTATTAAAAGTCTCGAAAAATCTACTTGGCCGCGCTTCTACTTGCTGTACCCTATCAAGCATCGACATAACGCCAACCAACCAACTTTTAATATTGTTTTATTTCGGTACACCTCAATTGAGTCCGCACGATTGAGTCCGCACGATTGAGTCCCCACGATTGAGTCCCGGCACAATTGAGTCCCGGCACGATTGAGTCCGCACGATTGAGTCCCCCTTGTATATACCTCAATTGAGTCCCCGTGTATTTAATTATATTAAAAAGGATTAAGAGGGATATCGGGGGATTTTTAGAGATTAAAGTGAACATCAGGGGACTTGTATTCGACATCGAGGGATCAAGTTGGATATCGGTGGATATGGAGGGATATAAGTAGATTTAAGCGATTAAAGGGGATATCGGTGGATTTGGGGATTAGGAGGGATATCGAGAGATTTTTTGAATGACAGCTCATTCGAATGAGCTGAGTCGAATGACACAAAAATCAACATGGTTCTCGCCGAGATATGGGGCTCGAAATGGTCAAATCCACGGGGGAATTTTTGGGGACAAAAAATTCGAATATTAAATTATACCTCATTCGAAAGGGCTCGACGAGCTGAGTCGAATGACATCAAAATCTGCTTGATTCAATGATTCTGAACAAAGTTATGACCAACTGAATCTGCGCTGGAAAACTGTTTTGTGCTGCTACGGAGGGTATGTGGGGTGCAGCAGGGGTGCACAGGTGGTCTGTCCGGCATTTATACCTTAAAAATAGAAATTTTGGAATAATCCCGCATGCCGGATATGGAAATTTTAAACTTATTAAATCCACGGGGACTCAATTGAGGTATATACAAGGGGGACTCAATCGTGCGGACTCAATCGTGGGGACTCAATTGTGCCGGGACTCAATCGTAGGGACTCAATCGTGCGGACTCAATCGTGGGGACTCAATCGTGCGGACTCAGTTGAACTGCTCCGGTTTTATTTTTTATTTTTTGTTAATTTTTGTCCAAATCTAATTACCGACTTTAGACGTCCTTTATATGTATCTTGCAAATAGCTAAATTCCAAAATTTTACATTCGGATATAAAGTGCTGTTCCAGGACTACTGTATAACCTGTATTAATTGCCCTCCCTCAAATAATTACCCCTTCTATTAATTAACCCATCCAGCGATAGATTAAAACAATAATTACCCCCGAACAAATGCCCTAAAACACGTTCAAATAATTACCCTCCCTTGATTAATTACTCCCTCCAGCGGAAGGTCGAAACAATAATTACTCCTGGTAGTTATTATAGGATATACGGTATGCGGAATTTCATTTTGATTGTATTAGGACTATGCGAAATTTTGTCCGATCATTAATTATCGACGTTTAATTTTTTTAACAACAAATGTTTACAAAAGTACATAATCAACTTTATAAAATACCGTATTTACTGAAATAGTACGGCCAAATTTATTAGAACGGCCCCCTCAAATAGTACGGCCCTTTCGATGAGGGTTGAAAAATAGTACGGCCCCCTCAATTAGTACGGCCCCCTTATTAGTACGGCCCCCATTTAAAAAATATAAAAAACAGACAAAATTTGATTTTTTAATCATATGTAGTAACTATTCCTCGCAATATTTAACTAATTTATTGAATCTTAATATTATTGGTATAGAAATTGGAGTGCTTAAGAGGATATCTGCGGATAAATGGAGATTTTGTTGGATATGGAAGGATATTGATGGACTTGGAGTGATTTAAGTATAGATGAATTTAAATGGATTAGTTGGAATCAAAGTGAATAACGAATAGTTTTTAGTACTAGAAAGTTGGATTGACAACCTTCTATCTAAAAAATTAAGGGCAACTCAAAACATTCTAGTATTTCAATCCATCTTCGTGCCTATTTTTTAAGATGACCCGAACCTTGGCTAAGATAAGATAAACTGGCAATGTCAAGAATATCATGTTTATATTATACGTTGAAGAATATGAAGTATTTAAAAGCACGCGCGGATGCACGCGCGGAAGTACTGATTTTCGGGTTCAGCGTACCGGTATTCAGAGACCTCGTGATCGGGATTAACCTAAATCGGTAACGGGATTTGAGATAATGATACGATACAGGCTCGGGATTTAAAAATTGGTATCGGTATTTTCTAAAAAAATTTAATATGAGCAGAAATTAAATAAATATTTTCTAATTCAAAGATCTTAATAATAATAAACCGCAGAACCCTAACTGATTTAACGCTTGCCTCTCCACAAAACACGAGGTAGACAGATGCGCATGGCGCTCTACAAAACGCTCTACAAAATGCTTGATACAGTTGTTATTATACTAGACGGGTCTTAAATGATTTTTAAGTTCTGCTAATTTTATGTTTGGAACAAGCTTTTGATTTGGGATAATTTCCGAGCATACTATTTTGGAAACTATAAAAAAATTTAAACACAAAAAAAAAGATTCAGATAATTTTGAAAAAGGGTTGAAAAATAGTGCGGCCCCCTCAATTAGAACGGCCCCCTCAAATAGTACGGCCCTTTGGAAGAGGGTTGAAAAATAGTACGGCCGGCCGTACTATTTCAGTAAATACGGTAAATAGATTATAAAAATAAAATTCCATTTATACTAACAAAGGATAACCTTAACCCAATAAAATTATTTTTAAAAATTAAAATTAATTAATTAGACGTAGAGCAATTCTTAATTTCATTTTCATCATTCTACTCAAGTTTCTAAGCTCAAAATTTAATTTTCCGTTTTCTTTGATGGGAACAGCGCCCTCTTCAGCCAAAAGAGGTGAACACATTTTGAATCGTGGGAGCAAATAATTTCCTTTTTCTAAAAAAAATTTTTTTTGAGAATTTCAATTTATCTCTGAAGAGGTGAATTAATCGTTAGGATCTCCTTACCATCTTCAACAATAATTTCAAAATTTCGATTGGCAAAATATTCAAAAATTAAAGTCTGTCCTTTCTTTGCTTCCAAAATTTGCAAATAACTGTCTCCAGCAGTTATCAAACAATTTTCATAATTTAGAGTTTTCTGGTCTATTCCATACTTTTCCCATATTGCTCCATCTTTCTTTAAAAAATGATTAAATTATATCAAATATTCCTCTCTAAGTTGTCCCAGAATATGGCAGAACATGCTTAGTTCCTCACCCATAAAATTAATTTTTCTCTCGAATGCATTTTCTCACGTAAACGCTAGTTAATAGGTTAAAATAGGTAAAAAAAGTCCCCTTAAACATGATCTTTTTAAAATAACATTGGATATAAGCTTTTCAGACTATAAATACATATTTTAGGATTAAAATTCCTATCCGTAAAATAGGAATTTTAAGAAAAGGATAGGAATTATTTTTAAAATTCTTATCCTCAAGTAAAGTTTTTCCATATCACAGATAGGCGAAATTTATATTTTCGGTCTCACAATTTTTGAAAAACTTTTTCTTTTCAAACCAACTCCATCCCTTACATTAAACAAAACAATTTACTCTAAAATCATCATTCCCCAATTCTTTTTGTAAATTACACCCAGTTTCAGGCACTTCAGCATCCTTAATAATTTTTAATCCTCCATAACCTACAGGAATAGAATCATTAGATATCCATTTGGGTATATCAGAATGTTGGACAGCTATATGGATTCTGTTAATTACTTTGGCTGGCAAAATTAACGAAATTATCTTTTTAAAAATTAAAATTAGTTTTTAATTAATTAAAAGCAAAAAACCTTCATTAAAACATTCAAAACCCTTGGAGGGTTAACGATAACAATATTTTTAACAACCTCAGAATAATAGGACATTAATACATTGACTCGAGCCTAAAAATATTTTTAATTAAATTTTGGAAAATGCCCGGAGATGTTTAATGCCGGAGTTGACTTTTGATGAATGTGATATGATACTAAGAGCAAGGATTTCCGGCCTCTCTTTAGATGAATATTAAAAGTATTGCTAAAAATTTTTCCTTATTTTTTGAATTTTCTTTGAAAATTTTTTTCAGATTAAAAAGAACCCATACTCCGACTAGGAATTTCGACATAACAATCCAGCCCGAACTGCAGAAAAAATTGAAAACCCCTATCCGCACACATGACTGCGACCGCTCGGGGTATATCCTATTTAAAGGGCCAAATACGCTCTGAAATGAACCCTCTTTCCTTTGAAATATAGCCCCACGCCTTAACAAAGTTCCCTTTTGTGATATTGATGAAGCTTAAGGCTCCCCAAAGGCTATATTTCAAGTATAGGGTTTGGTTCAAAGGTAAAACTTTATGTAAAATATTACTTCAAATATTCGATTAATCGGTGCCATTGGATTAACATATTGAAGTATTGACATATTCTAAATTAATTATAAATTAAAATTTAATTATTTAAAAAAATTCTTTTTACTTGCATATCAAAAATAGCGACTCCAAAGGATCTTTTGCCACATTTTTGTTCATATTCTAATAATATTTTTAAAAAATATTCACAAGCACGGAAAAAGCATTGTAAAAATTCTCCTGCTCTGATTGATTTAGATGACTAATAAATGTTTATAAAATTCTATTTCTGATTAAAATTTTGTTGTTATTCCACTCTTTACCTTAAATGATTTTCTCCAATATCCCCGAAACCCTAACTCATTCCTTCTCTGTCTCTGACATATCACAATTATCTAAGATAATCTCAGTTATCCCAGCTAGAGTTGAGAGGTATCGGGATCCCGCCTAAAATCGGGATTTTGGAATAATGATCCCGATCCCGGCCCCAACTACGTGATCGGGATGTGACGAAATCGGGATTGAAAGAAACCGGGATAATTCCGCCCGATCCCGACCGGAATCCCGATCCCGCTCAACCCTAATCCCAGCTTGTCACAACCCTCACATTGAATACTTTCAACATATCTCAGATATCTCGCGTTTCTATTTACCTCTCTGACATATCAAATCTCTTAGTTATTCAATTCGATACACTTTTCAAATTTAAGTAAGTCAAAGAAATTTAATTTTTAAAATAAAATCTCCCAACCTTTATCGAATCTTTAGTGCCCATTTCCACAAAAACAATTCCATTATCAAAAGAATTAACCCAATCGGATGTTGGTTTGCTCTGAGCAAAAATATTATAATAATTTACCATATCAGATTTCAGATAAAAATTGTCATAGGCTTCAGGTCCTTTCAAAAAAATTATTCTTCAACCAAAAAATTAATTTTTACTTACTATCCAAGTTTAGAGATTTTTTGTTTTTAAAATATTCAAAGTAAGCTTCTGCTGCACGTTGAGGGTTCTAAATTAAATTGAGAATTTTATCTAGTTCAGTTGGTTTATAATTAAATTTTCTCCAACTAAATATGTATACATATTACATATGTAGTGTATACAATTATAATCCGTTTCCAAAGTAAGAGCGGCAAAAGACAAATTCGGTTTGTACCCTATGGCTTTATAACCAGAGTAAATAGTTCCGGAGGATTTGGAACACATTAAAATGCTCGTTATAATATTAATTCACAATCGGAGGGGTTCTCACAAAAATTCCCACTTTTCCGCCACTAAAACAGAACGATTCGTGTCATTTCCATATTTTCAACGGTCTTCGGTTCACGAAACCAGAAGACGTTGATCGTCACCTATCAGGCATTGCGCGGGGTTACTAAAGTAACTGCACAACTACCGTATTATTTAAATTTAGAGGCCAGCCACTCTATTTTTTAATTCATGCTCGAAAGGATGAATTGAATTCCTCAACTGGCTATCAGGCATTGCGTGGAGCTTATCATTTACCTCATCATAAGCCTCCAACCATCTATCAAGGTTAAAATCAGTCCTTTCAGGCTCTGTTATTTTGTCACCTAATAATTCTAAAAGTTGATGACGTTGTTCTGTTCGAGACATTTAAAATATATAAAAATATTTTTAAAGAAAAATTTCTTTACTGAAAGAAATCTTACAAATAGCAAAAATAAAAGTAAAAATGAATTAAATAAAAAGAGAAAACCGGTTTTTCTTGAATAAAATTTTCTTAGCAAAAATGAGGATGTAATTTACATTAACTGATCAAAAAATCATTAATCGCTTGAATTGTTTCTATTTTATAATTTTTAATGGATTTTATATTTTCTTTTCTTCTTTATACGCTTCTTCTCCATTCAATTCCTTATTTTATTGAAAAGACTGTGACCTATTTTTTGACGAAAAGCTGTCATCATCCTTGAAAAGAGGGATATTTAGGCGTAGTAGCTGTTCGGCGCCGTTGACTATAGCTTTAGAGAAGCTAGGGATGTGAACCAAACTTCTCTTAAAATTTCAAAATTTTCGGTTAAATATTTCCAAGGTTAAGACCAAAATATGATCGAAAATAAGCATTTTCAGAAAAAATTGGGGAGGAAGTTAATTAATTTAATTTTCTGTAATCTTTCTGAAAAATTCTAGAATTATTAAGGGGGATTAGTTAAAATACTTGAAGGGTATTTGAGCAAAATTTAAAGATATATTGGCGCCCGAAAGTACCTCTTATTTCTGCATGAATGAAGTAATGAGAAATATTGTCATCCAAACAAGAGTTTAGAAGAAACATTGAATGTTCATCAAAAGAAAGGATCTTTCATCTTTTAATAAATATACCCATCCTTTGAATGCCTTCTTCTTTGATCTTGAAGAAGATTTTCTTTTCTTCAAGTTTTTATTTAATTAACAGAAAAGGAAAAAATGTTTTTTTTCGGAATTAAAAAAGCTTCTTAGGAATAAAAAATAGAAAAAAATAATTAAAGGAAATTAGGGTGCCGGTTGATTTCGGCGTATGGGATTTTGGTCGTTTTTAATTGTTTGGGCAGTGAGTGATTTAGTCCGTAAACGTTTTTTAAAAAGAATTTTTCACACAAACAATTGGAGTAACAATAAATAATAATTATGAGTGATTTGGACATTAAGAAGGATTAGGAGGATTTGGAGCGGGGATGGTGGATATCGAGAGATTACGGAGGATTAAGAAGAATGTTCAAGCTTATATTTATCTCTATCCCATCAATATTCATTTTGAATATGGATCAGATACCCTACAATAACTTGAATACCATTACTGTTATCCTTTTATATGATATCCTTTTGGATCCATCGATATGGTCCTTGATTGAATTATAGACCTATTAATTTTTAATTCGTCGTGTCACGCTAACTAAAAATATGTAGATGAAAATCACTGTCTCCATTTGAACCAAAGTCTTCAATACAACAGCCCAAACTCATTATTTTAAATTCAGCTATTTTCATAATTTTTTCTCTATTTTAAAAGGTCAAAAATTCAAAATAATAAATTTTCTTTAAAAGTACAACACAAAAAAACGACATGCCACGCTACCTCATAGCAGAGTTGCGTAGTAATTACGAATTACGGCGGTTTTTGAGTTACGAATTACGATTACGAAAATATCGGAAAAAATTACGAATTACGAAAATAAAAATTACGAAAAAATATTATCGAAGAAAAAAAGCTCTCGTACTTTGTCATTTAATTTCATAGTAAAATGGGAGGTAATATACTTTTACTACATATATTCTCCCATTTTATTTTATGTTGACCGGTGGTTGACTTGTTTAGAAGTTAATCTTCACTCACTTTGATATTCTGTGGGAGCAAAATCCTCAAAATTTTCGCCTATTGACCTCTGGAGGATATAATAGGATATGGCCGGATATCGAGGATATCATGGGAATTGAACGGATATCGAAGGATTTATCCTTTGAAATTTTCAAAAAGTTTTGCCTGTACGAAGAAGAGGAGGAATTCGATATTTTATATAAATTTTTTTGAGTTGCGAATTACGATTACGGAAAAAAATTTCAATTACGAAGCAACCCTGCCTCATAGGTTTCGAAATTTAGATTTTCGAGGATTTTTTTGAAAACGAAACATCTCTGCTCACGAGACTTATAAATTTTAAAGGTGAAAAGGGCAGCTTTCCGTATTATTTATAAAATGCAGTTTGCCTTACTTTCCTCATTATTAATTTTGCCCGACATTCCTTTATAATTTTTTGCTTGATTATTTTTAAATAAATTTATTTTTTAAAAAATGAATTTAAAAATAAATATTTATTTATTTTTAATATTATTTATTAATTTAATTAATTCAAATAATATTCAAAATAACCAAAATATTTTTGTTAAATATACAAAAGAAAATGAGGAAAGAATTAAAATTAATTTAATAAATATTGAATTTATTAAAGATAATGAACAAGAAGTATGTTTTAATTTTTAATTCTTAATGACTTCAAAGTTATCAATATTGGAAAAATATTTGATAAAAGCTTTGGAATTAGCTAAGCTAGATAGTGGAAGGATATCTAGGATATCTATATCTAGTTCTAAGCTCTGGTTTGGTGTTTAAAGATCAGTGAAAATTTGTCTAGTTTATGTATCCAACCCATTTATTCACGAGCTCAGAATGGTCAAAGCAATCCATACAGGTCGGAGAGACGCTTGTCCAAACCCCGCGTTTCATTCGGGATTTTGCGGAACGCATCTCGCGCGAGTCAAGCAAGAGGTTTAATACCTAAAACATAAACCTATTGTTAGTTTGCGAGTAAATAGAGTGCTTGGCAAATAAATCGGGCAATAATGCGGCGTGCCTCGCGAATAAATGGGGGTGGATACCCGAAGTAGACAATTTTCGCTCAAGTGATACTCTTGGTAGGCTTACTTCTAAATATTCAGAACCCAATGTAGCTTGTCTAAACATTATATAATCCAAATATTTAATTTTTAAGGAAATTTTAACAGAAGAGAATATTTTGTTTAATTTTAATAAGAAATTTTCATTAAAAATTGAATTTGAAATTAATGGGAAATTAAATGATGAAGATAAACTTTATCTAAAACATTCAACAATACCTGCTTTTAGATATAAAGGAGATTCATTTAGTCTATGTAAGAAGGGAATATTAGATAATGACAGAATTTATACACAAAACGATATTCAAATAATTGAAGATAAAAAAATAATTTATTTAGATGAAAAGGTTGATGATGAATATAAATTTGGATTGGATATTTGTTTGCAAAATGGAACAAAAAAAGAAGTAAAAAAGTCAAGTCTTTCTGTTGGTAGCTAGACACGTCAGCAAGTCGATACGCAACACGGGGACTTTAAATTGGCACCATTTTAGAGTAAATCAGCACTGGCAGAGGCCTAGCGAATTAAATATTATATAGAGAGAGGAATGTTAGGGATTTTTTAGTGATGTTCAAGAGTCAAAAAAAGCGAGAGTCGAGACCAAGACCGAGAATCAACCCCGAGACCAAGACCAAAACGAGAGTCGAGACCGAGAGATTAAGAGGGATATCACATGACGTCCCTTCTAGTCCCCAAAAATCCCTTGATACCTCATAATCCCCAAAAATCTTTAAGTCCCCAAGTCCACAATATATATCCACTGATATTCACATTAATCTCTTAAAATCACCTCATTTCCCTCAATATCACTACAAATCCAACGATATCTTCTTGATCACTCGATGCCACGCACAAGCCTATTAAGCCTATTTGTCGAATCCGGGACGCAATCCAGCTAGTCTAGGTGCGATGAACCATACCAGAGTGTCAGGGATTCGATAAATATGAATGAAGTTATAGCTCCGCAAAACCCCCAAAAACCTAGCTAGCGGACGCAATGGTCTGCAAGTACTGTCAAGATAAACACCTTAATTTCTTAAAAATAATTTTTAAGGCACTTGTTAGAATTAAACCTATTTTTAATGGCTTAATTGGAATGAATATAAGAGATGAGAATGGAAATTATTTAAATTCAAATACCATTAAAAACCACATTAATTTTCATGACTTTCTAATTACAGAAGGCATTATTAAATTAAATGGAATAGATGTAAAATTTAAAGAAACTATTGTAAAAAATTCCATTAAATTAACAAAATTTTATTTATTTTTAAATTTAAATTGGAAAAAAGAAAAAATGACCAAAAATATTTTTAAAAATTTAAAATTAAACGAAATTAGTGGGAAAAAATCAAAAAATTCTTTTTTGGAAATTTGCTTTAAATTTGCTGAAAAAGGAAAATATTTTATTTATATTAATTGTTACTCAAAACGTTCATTTCAATTTTTTGTTAGTGTTAAAGATGTAAATAAAGAGAAATGTTTAAGAAAAATTTTCGTAAATTTATCTATTTATGAAAAAGAAATATTGAAAGAATTAAATGGATTTATTCATATTAAAATTGTTGAAACAAAAAATACAAAATACAAAGACGGAGATATGATTAGTGTTAAAGGAAATTATGGTAATGAATATATTTATCGTGTTGACTTGAGACCGATGTTTGAATTGAAGAATTAATGAATTGAAGGAAAAAAATTTTTTTGAAAGTTTTGAACGAGATTAACTAAAAGAGATTTTTTTCTAATGAAGATTTCTTCAACTTTTTCCTTTATTGTTTGAACGAAAAAGGGTTGTCGTATTTGATAGATAACGTATTTATTCAATATTAATATTTGACCAAAGTCAATATCTCTTGAAATCGGAGATATACCTTGTAAACCCTTAATCCCTCAAGTCCTCATATATCGCCAGATATACCCTTTCTTCCCTTCGGATTTCAATTAATTCCTACAAATCCCTTTAATCCGTCCAAGCCCTCCTCAAGTTTTTAATAAATTAACGAGAATAGACAGAGAACCCCGACCATATTTTGTTGCACCGACGCACAACAATTTATAAACCCCGGCCCCGACACACCTGCCCCGAACGCTCTGGGCAGGTGTGGGTGTGTGGACCCAATATATCAGACAACTCCTAATCTTGGTCAAATAATTTCAAAGCTTTGATTAAATTTTTGAAATACTTTAGAAAAGAAATTATAGTAAAGGTCACCTCGACCTCGCTCAACCCCATATAAAAGATCAGACTGATTTTTTCTTTTTATTAATTTCAAAACAAAAATTTAATCTTTTTTTTAAATACTTTTGATAAAAACTTTAACATTTTTATTTTAATTGTCCAAAAATATTTTTTATATTATTCTCTAACTTCTCTTAAAGTTTTAAAATTTTCGGTTAAATATTTCAAGAATTATAGGTAAAATATGAACAAAAATAAGCATTTCTGAAGAAAATTAAAGAGAAAATAGAATCAATTTTCTGAAATTTCTAGAGGGATTAGTTAACAATAAAAGGATAATTTAAGCAAATTTTAAAGAATAATTGGCACAAAAAAATACCCTACTACTGCAAGAATAAAAAATTGAGAATTCTTCAATTAAAATTTAAGATTGAAGCTTGAACTATGCGAGAGTGCCATTAACAGTGTCAGAACCTACAAATGCTTTTCTGACTATTTTTTAGAGTTCAGCGGGATCGGGATCCCGGTCAGGATTCGGGCGGAATTATCATGGGGTTTTCAAATTCCGATCCCGATTTTTCAGATCCCGAGACCGAAAGATGAATCCTGATACCGATTTCGGTCAATCCCGACCCCGTGTCGGAATCCGGGATAGGGATGTGCATCAGATCCCGATGCAATTCTCTACCTCCCGATACCATCAAAAACTAACATTCACTACAGCTTGTAAAAACACACTAGAGGATATAGATTTTGACATAATAACTATTGCCAACACACTTAAAGCACTTCCTAACAAAAACTCATCCACGCAAGATGATATCCCTTACAAAATATTTAAAAATCTTCATGACATAGTTGCTCCTAGCTTATGTGAAATCTTCCGTATTTCTTTAGATACAGGGGAAATCCCAGAAAAATGGAAACACTCAACGATTATACCTATATTCAAAAATGGAAACAGATCAGACCTTAAAAATTATCGACCCATATCACTCACCTCTACTACTTGTAGAATTTTTGAAAAAATAATCTATTCCGAAGTGTTGAAATTCTTAATCGAGAACGATTTACTGTCTAAAAATCAATTCGGTTTCCTACCCAAACGCTCCACGGTAACACAACTAATACTCACTCTTAACAAATGGTATGAGGGTCTACTACATAAAAAAAATATAGATGTAATATACATCGATTTACAAAAAGCATTCGATAAGGTTCCCACACAGCACCTACTAAACAAACTATATGCGTACGGAATCAGAGGTAAAATACACAGATGGTTAAGCAATTTTCTTACAGACCGTACTTTTACTGTGCGAATAAATAACGAAAAGTCAAGCATATTTCCAACACTATCAGGAGTTCCCCAGGGATCGATTTTAGCACCTTTATTATTTACAATATACATAAATGATCTCCCGTCAAAATTAGGAGAAAATATATTTGCATCGCTATACGCCGATGACATTAAAATCACCCAAATTTACAACACGCAAAACACTAACATACAGGAAAATATCGATATCCTTTACTCATAGGCAATAGACTCGGGTTTAAATATATCACTTAATAAATCTTTTATATTCAATCTAGGTAATAAAAATCCAAAAATACCATACAATATCCTAGACCATGAGTTACAACATGTCGAAGTAATAAAAGATCTAGGCATAATCATAGACAATAAATTAACCTTTAAAAAACATATAAAAAATATATGCAAACTTGGATTTTTAAGATCCCATCAAATACTACGAAATATTCATACATCCGATCCTAAAATATGGGGTAATCTTTTTAAAACATATATTCTCCCTACACTAGAATACGGGTCCCCTATATGGAACCCAATGTCTAAAGAATTAACTAAAGATTTAGAAAGGGTGCAAAAATTTTTTACTAAGTCAGCCCTTTTGAAATGCAGAAGAAAAAATCTTAAATACACCGATAGACTAAAATTATTTCAGCTAGACACCCTACAATTTAGAAGGTATTATACAGACGTGATAACAATGTATAAAATACTATTTAACCATACCAGTTTAATCCCCGAAGAGCTATTTACATTAAATACACGTCCAAGTAGAAAGCATGATTTTATCATTCAGGTTTCAAATAAAAATGCCAAAACAATCAATTCTTTCATTAACCGGACAGTAAATATTTGGAATCTAATCCCAAGAAATATATTTATAGGACATACATTAAATAATTTCAAAACTAATTTAAAACATAGCCTACCGCAAATTCTGTTAAAATTAAAAATACTACCTTAAATTCAACAAACCAAAATTCAAACCTAAACACTGAAGAATCCCTGAATTAATCCCACAATTTGACTAAAAGGATGGGTATATTGCCCTTAACTTATTTACTTCTTCACTTAGCAATTTAAAGAGCGTTTTAACCTTTTCTTCACTCATCATGTTTTTTTTAATTCACGCCTCTTCCACACCCCCCCCCCCCAATATATATTTGTCAATACATTTATTTTTTTAGTTAGTTCATATATTTTTTTAACAATTTATTTTTTATCAATACATTTATATTTTTTGACAATTTACATACCTTTTTTTCACAATTATATATTTTTTTTTCTCTCTTTAAGCAAAAGTTAACTTAAAAAACATTTTTAACCAAAAAAAAGTTAAAATATCTCCTAAATTAACTTAACTACCTGTGCCTATTTATTTACTTTGAAATGTCTAAAACTCTTTATAATCCAAATTCTACCACCAATTCCAACAAAACTCCAATTAAACGTCCGTTGACATCTCTTTCGCCCGAACTCCCAGCAAAAAGACAACAATTTCTTGATCAAATTGCTAATTTAAATTTAGACCCTATTCAAGAAGACCCCACAATATCAGACTCTGCCAAAACTATTATTTCACAACTCAATAATCTCTTAAAAACTGCTGGGTGTATAATTTCTGAAATGGCTCAGAACCATCAAATTTCCCAGGAAAATATTGACAATTCTATTGCTGAAAAAGAAAGGAAACGGTCTGTTGTAATTTCGGGGCTCCCCTCTTCTACTCAAACATTACCATCAGCTAGAGCAAATGAAGATCGACAAAATGTCAATTGTATTCTCGATAAGTTGGGTATCGAGATTTGTCCACAATCTATATATAGATTAGGCAAGGATCTCCCAACCCGTAAAGGTGCACCACCTCTTCTAAAAGTCGTTTTTCCGTCCTCATATTTTCAGACAACCACTCTTCGAAATTGGTCTAAACAACGCAACAATATTAAACAATCTCCAATATTCCGGAATCTGGGCATTAGAGAATCTATGACATTGGAAGAACGCACCAATCGTAAAAAATTGCAGGCTGAATGTGCACATAAAAGGTCCGAAGATAAAGGTGATTGGATTATCTATGCAAATACAATCATACTTCGCGAAAATATTCCCAATTTCCGTAAATCTATAGCATAGGATAATTTAGGGATTCAACAATATTTAGGGGGACAGAATAAACTGTTATATAAATCAAAAATACAACAAAATTCCCAAATAACTAGTATTTCTAATTTTAACAGAACAAATGAAAACACTTACAATAAGGTTAAACAAACTCATAATAAACTTAAAGGCGTTCTAATTAATAGTAGATCCCTCATTAACAAAATTACTGAATTTAAGAATTTTATATCACTAAATCAATTTGATGTAATTTGTGTAACCGAAACTTGGATACAGGATAATATTATGCTTTCCAATGAACTAAATGTTAAAGGAAAATACTCTGTTTTTATTTGTAACCGATCCTCTCTAAAGAAAAAAAAGGGAGGAGGGGTAGCTATTTTAACACTAAATCCAATAAAAGCTGCAGAAGTCTATACCCAAACACAATTTGGTTACGAACTAATCATTATTGACATCATCAGAAAAGGTTACCCAAACACACGCCTTATATTAATATACTTTCCGCCAAATTTAACAAAAAACTCTAACGAAAAACTAATAAAAACACTCACAAAATACTATACTCCTAACACTATCATTTGCGGCAATCTAAACAAACCTAAAATCAATTGGAACATCCATTCTAGTTCAGTTGCCATGGACAAGTTATTTTTAGATTTTATAACTAACTATGGATTTAATCAGCTTATTAAAGATCCAACACACATTTCGGGCTCTATCCTTGACTTAATCATAACCAACCAAAATAAATTAGTAGATAATATCCAAATTAATGATGGATTTTAAACTTCTGACCATTTTCGGATAGAATTTGAGATTAATATCACAAAAGAACCGACACAAAATAACAATTATCGTGTTTTTAATAAAGCCAACATTAACAAAATTAAACCAATTTTAGCTTATAACTTTTACCTAATGGAAATAATACCAAACATATCTAACTCTGTTAGCGCCAAATTCGATAACTTTTTCAAACTTGTTCAATCAATAATTGAAGAAAATATTCCTGTTTCGCACAACAGATCCCAATTAGGCCTCAAATACCCTGTCTATATACAAAAAGCAATTAGAGAAAAATATAAACTTTTCAAGCAACTTAAACAAAACCCCACGCTAAGACTCGAATACAATAAAATGTCCAATAAAATTAAATACTTAATCAGAAATTATTTAAATAAATCCATGTCTAGAATTTCCAATAATAAAGACTTGATAAATAAACAAATAAAAACATCCATAAAATCTAATCAAACTATCCCAGTACTTATCAGTAACAATGAATACATAATTGATGACTCAAAGAAATGCGAAGCTTTTGCAACCTATTTTTCTGAATTATTCAAAAACATTCCCAATAACCATCAAAAACTAACATTCACTACAGCTTGTAAAAACACACTAGAGGATATAGATTTTGACATAATAACTATTGCCAACACACTTAAAGCACTTCCTAACAAAAACTCATCCACGCAAGATGATATCCCTTACAAAATATTTAAAAATCTTCATGACATAGTTGCTCCTAGCTTATGTGAAATCTTTCGTATTTCTTTAGATACAGGGGAAATCCCAGAAAAATGGAAACACTCAACGATTATACCTATATTCAAAAATGGAAACAGATCAGACCTTAAAAATTATCGACCCATATCACTCACCTCTACTACTTGTAGAATTTTTGAAAAAATAATCTATTCCGAAGTGTTGAAATTCTTAATCGAGAACGATTTACTGTCTAAAAATCAATTCGGTTTCCTACCCAAACGCTCCACGGTAACACAACTAATACTCACTCTTAACAAATGGTATGAGGGTCTACTACATAAAAAAAATATAGATGTAATATACATCGATTTACAAAAAGCATTCGATAAGGTTCCCACACAGCACCTACTAAACAAACTATATGCGTACGGAATCAGAGGTAAAATACACAGATGGTTAAGCAATTTTCTTACAGACCGTACTTTTACTGTGCGAATAAATAACGAAAAGTCAAGCATATTTCCAACACTATCAGGAGTTCCCCAGGGATCGATTTTAGCACCTTTATTATTTACAATATACATAAATGATCTCCCGTCAAAATTAGGAGAAAATATATTTGCATCGCTATACGCCGATGACATTAAAATCACCCAAATTTACAACACGCAAAACACTAACATACAGGAAAATATCGATATCCTTTACTCATGGGCAATAGACTCGGGTTTAAATATATCACTTAATAAATCTTTTATATTCAATCTAGGTAATAAAAATCCAAAAATACCATACAATATCCTAGACCATGAGTTACAACATGTCGAAGTAATAAAAGATCTAGGCATAATCATAGACAATAAATTAACCTTTAAAAAACATATAAAAAATATATGCAAACTTGGATTTTTAAGATCCCATCAAATACTACGAAATATTCATACATCCGATCCTAAAATATGGGGTAATCTTTTTAAAACATATATTCTCCCTACACTAGAATACGGGTCCCCTATATGGAACCCAATGTCTAAAGAATTAACTAAAGATTTAGAAAGGGTGCAAAAATTTTTTACTAAGTCAGCCCTTTTGAAATGCAGAAGAAAAAATCTTAAATACACCGATAGACTAAAATTATTTCAGCTAGACACCCTACAATTTAGAAGGTATTATACAGACGTGATAACAATGTATAAAATACTATTTAACCATACCAGTTTAATCCCCGAAGAGCTATTTACATTAAATACACGTCCAAGTAGAAAGCATGATTTTATCATTCAGGTTTCAAATAAAAATGCCAAAACAATCAATTCTTTCATTAACCGGACAGTAAATATTTGGAATCTAATCCCAAGAAATATATTTATAGGACATACATTAAATAATTTCAAAACTAATTTAAAACATAGCCT